CGTGAGAAGGTCCGGAAGCGGAGATGCTCCCTCTGCCAGCAGGAAACCCGCGGCAGCAGGAACGAGGTGATGCGGTGTCAGCGTCCCGAGCTGCCTCCCGGCGCTCCCAAAAAGCTTCCTGGTGGCTTTGGGGAAAACCCCGCAGGGCAGCAGCGAGGGGCATGGACCCCCCCCCCTTCCCACCTTTCCAGCTAAAAACAAGGAAAACAGTAAGGAAAAAAAAAAGAAGAGAGAAATCGGTACTTGCTGCAAGAAAAGTAGGTACGAAGGGCAGGAAGAGATATTTTTAAGTTGCTAATTGAACATGGAGTGGTTGGCTGTGGCTGTTGGAGGCCGCTAAGGGGGTTGCTGGCACTCGGTAATTTATGGGCAGAGTTTTCTAGCCCAAGCCACCCGCTGTGGAAGGTTGGCCCTGCAGGCAGGAGGGCTGAAGTCCCCAGCAGGCACAGGGACTGACCTGGCCGTGGCATGAATGGCTCCTGCTGGCACTGGGAGCAATGGGTGTGGGTTTAAAAACGTGGGGAGGGGAGATGTACCCAGGGGCCCCGGGGGAGATGCAGCCCAGGATGGGGGCCAGGGTGCAGTCTCCCTGGGGTGCTCAGCATCCCCTCACCACTCCTCCTCTTCTCTTTCAGAACAAGGTGCTGACAGTGGATGGGGTGAAGGTGAAGCTGCAGGTATGTCCCCGTGGCCCCAGTAGCAGCTCCCTTGCCCTGGTTCTCTGAAGGGATCCGCATCCCTGGCTCAGCCTGTATCCAGCCCATGGGACATGCAGGAGATTTTGTGTCCCCCACAGCCACTCAGGCCCCCTGAGACCCAAGTGTTTCCCTGACCCCTTTTCCTGGAGCTCACTGATGACATTAGAGCTGAGCAGCCCCTGGCGCTCTGCAAACGGATTGCTGCATTAAACACGGAGCAATTAAATTAGTGGGTCCCCATGCATCCATCTTGCTGGATGGATTTGCCAATTAAGGGCCACGTGGGGGGCCCTTTGCCGCCTCCACGCGCTGAGGAGCAGGGAGGTCCTGCTGCAATATTTATTACACTTGTCATTTTTCCTATCGCTAGCAGCAAAGGGCTGAAGGAGCAGCCGGGGGTCGCACCACGCCAGGTGGGCTGGGGTTGGGTTTGGTGCCAGGGTGACCCCCCTGCTCCTGCCTGCCTTCCAGATCTGGGACACGGCCGGGCAGGAGCGATTCCGCAGCGTCACCCACGCCTACTACCGGGATGCCCACGGTAAGTGCGGCCACCTCGGGTTCCCACCTGCAGCTCCAGGCCAAGTGAGTCGGGAATCACTGGAGCAGCTTCCCTGTAGGAAGCAGCTGCTAAGGATGGGAGAGTCCCTGCGTGTCAAGGTGCAAATGCCACATGTCTCGGGCATTGCCTGTGGTGGATTGATGGGTTCTCCATCCCTGGAAGTGTTCAAGGGCAGGTTGGGTGGGGCTTGGAGCAACCTGGTCTAGCAGAATGTGTCACTGCCTGTGGCAGAGGGTTTGGAGCCAGATGATCTTTAAGGTCCTTTCCAACCCAAACCAGTCTGGAATTGTGTGATTTAAGTATGTTGCAACTGCACCTCAAATCCTGGGTTCAGTTTTGGGGTTCTCAAGAAGGACATTGAGGGGCTGGAGAGCAGGGCTCTAATGCTGTGTCCCCAGGGGTGCAGTGCCCAGGGGAGCAGAGCCAGCTCTGAGCTGGGGGCTCTGCTGGGCCTATTGCTCCCCAACACCACAGCCCTGACACTAATGCTCCATCCTCTCTCCTCAGCCCTGCTCCTGCTCTACGATGTCACCAACAAAGCGTCGTTCGACAACATCCAGGTACGGGCTGGTCATGGCTGTGGGTCAGCCCCGAGGAGGGGGTTTCTGCCTCAGGAGACACATGTTGGAGCTGTGAACCAGGGATGGTTCCCAGAGGGGCTGTGGTTGGTGCCTGGTTTGCCTGCGAGGACACCGGAGGACACGCGGGTTTCCCTGCGGTGTGGGAACAGAGGGCTGCCTTAAATCAGCCGCGGGCACTTCGCTGTGTGTGGGGCAGCAGCAGCAGGACCTGGCGCTGGTGTTCCCTCCCCGTGCCCCCCCAGCCCGGAGTGGGTGGGGGGGGAGCCCCAACACCGAGC